GGTTTGGAGTGGTCCAGTACCTTGCGGATGTCAGCAGCTGCCTCTTCGTCCAGGTTGTTGATGAGCTCCGCCAGCTCCAGGTTGTGAGTGGTCAGTATTTTCTGCCAGCAGTGCAGGTTCTGGGCCACATCCATCCTTCTGTCCACACCTCTGGAAAGTCCTGACAGATCCTTTTCTCTCTGTTTGTGGACCCTCAACTGGAAACCACGGACACAGTGATAAATATAGTGAATCACTATTTTAAATAAGAACGTGGGTGACTTTGTTAGAACAAAATTTAGATTTTTCTTTTATTCTTTCACCATTTCAGAGATGAGCTCCCTCCTTTTCTTAATTAGGCCACATCGCATTGCTCTTCTCTCTTGGTTCAGTGCCTCATCCAGTCTCTGTCGAAGCACCAGCAGCTCTTTTTGGGCCTTTTCCTGCAAATGGTCCGCTTGCTCCACAGGCACAGTGCTCCCTCTGGTGGAGAGAAAAAAGAATGACGCGATAAAAACGGATTCTTTCACACAGTTATTCCAATGTACAAAATTATTTATTGCTGAGGATCTCATGCTGAATGTACTCACCGTCTGAGGTGTGCGAACCAGCTGTCCAGATTACTGGAGGCGCAGGAGAATGTGTCAGAGATGAGGCTGTTGAGACTGTGGAGGCTGTGAACCAGAAACTTCCTCTGTGCATGACGTTCAGCCAAAACATAGCGCTGATTGGCAAGAACCACATCCAGAACCTCTTCAAGTTGATCCTGGACAAAAAAGGCCCAAAATAATCAGATCAACATTTTATCAAAAGTATCAAAAGTACAGGAATACAACAATGCTATGTGTACATTTTAAAGATTGATGTTACACTATCTTTGTTATTCACCTGGCAAGTAAAATATTCATGCTGAAGGCTTTTTACTGTGTTCTTCTCCAACTCGCCCATCCTGGTGGCCTCCTCCAGCTCTTCTGCGAAGATCTTGTGCAGCTCTACCCGCCGCCACTCAATGATCTGCCTCTGGACTCTGGCTGAGGCTTCTTCATGTCGAACCAACAGGATGCGCTGGAGCTGACTCTGACTGACTTTGTGCAATTTTTCCAACAGTGCACTGCACTGTAGGAGGTCCTAACAACAATACACACAATCAGTGCTATTTGAAAAAAAAACACAATTACCTATATACCAATATGATTTAAATGAATCGTGGCTACCTGCTGGTCAGCATGTCGACAATACCAATATGATTTAAATGAATCTTGGCTACCTGCTGGTCAGCATGTCGACACAGCAACTCAGCCTGAGCTTTTTCAGCTGCTTCCCTGCAGTGCTCTGCTTCCATTTCTTCTCGAGTCTCCAGGTTACACTGGCCAGCCAGGGCAGCCATGCGAGACCCTCGCTCCTCCTTCAGACGCCCCTCCATGCCTTGCAGCTGTCCATGAAGCACGCTGAGAAGCCTCTGTTGGGCCTGAGCAGTGGCCTGACCCTGCGACCTCAGGCTGCCCAGCAGTGATGACACAACATCCTTGTAGATCTGAATCCTGTTGGCCTCCAGGTTGTTGGTGGCTCGTAGGAGTGTAGACATTTCAAGGCTTACATGAAAGAAAAGATAGAGTATATTCTGAAGGATGTCACTGATACATTAAGTTGATGTATGTTTATTATTATTATTATATATAAAATGTGATTCATTAAAGACCATCAGCTTTTATGGAAATAAAATTATATAATTCTTGGTCAATTTACTTCTCTAAAGCCTGGTTCATGTTCTGTGGGTCCTCCAACACCATGATGTCCACGAGCTTGTCCTCAAAGGTGGCCTCATCTTTAATCGTCCCACTCGTGTTGCAGTCTGCATCCTCTGGGTCTGGATCACCTCTTTTCTTTAAAACAAAAAAGTAAAAGACATTTATATCAGCTCAAAAAATATCCAACAAAACAGCAAAACCAATATTTGTTAAAAAATAACCATAAAACCTTATTTTAAGCTTAGATTGTTTCAAACTGTAACAATGTGATTATATGTTAATTTTTATCACAGGGTCTAACATGTTGAATATTTCTTTCTAAAATAAAATACTCTTTCATCCTGTTAGAAGTTTTGGCTCTTGATGCCTTTGTGCCTGAGCAGGAAACCCATGATATGAAAGGAGTGAGTATATGTGCTATTCAAATTGTGTTATGTGAAAACAGTCAATATAGATTATTTGGAAAATAACAGCCTAAAATAGGTCTATTTATATTAGCTCACAGAAATATGTTTTATCATGATTTAAGAAATTTAAAAAAATGATTATACCCTTTGCTGAAGAAGGTGCAGTCTAGTTCTGAGCCCAATTTGGTTTACTGCCAGAAATCCAAGTAACAGCAGCACCATAATCATAAAGAATCCAGCCACAAAACCAGCAAAATGAACACCATGGTTAGGATGGATCTGAAAGAAGGTAAATTCAAGAAAAGCATCAGACTCCCTTCCCTGTATGGCACGGTTTTGTGTTCACAGCACAGCTATAAATCCTGAACTCACCCTGTCAGTGGAGTTTACTCTCAGCGTCAGATTGGCTGTCAGTGGACCAAACATGCTGACATCATTCTGCAAAAACAGGACAGCAACATCATATTAGTCTGTTCCCATACAGTATATACAGGTGTTCACTTCAGATGTTCAGTCAATACCTGTGAGGCATTAGAGAAGGTCAGAAAAGCCGGAAGGTCCAGGACCTCATTTTTGGGACTCCTTATGTGAGCAGTGTAATTGACAACAACCTGAGAACCAGCTGAGGGGAAACAGTGAAAAGTAGTTTACATCCAACAAAATGAAACTTTCACTCCAGAATTTTTAAAAATGTAAAATAAATATGATTTTTGCAGACAACCCACCCAGTAAACTTGAAGTAAATCTTTAAAAAGAATCACAAGGATCCTCTGGACTTTTTTGTTATTGATGTTGATTACAACATGGGAGGAATTTGTCAAACTGTGGTTTCATTAATAGGAAAACCACAATGTGAAAAATCGTCTGATGCAGACGTTATCATAAATCATAAATTACAAGATACTGGAAGTGAGATATACCTGAGAGCGAGTCGATGGCAAATGTTTGGTAGCCTCTTTCCACAACTCTGCCTTCAGTTCGTAAGGGAATTATTCCAGAGAGTGAGTCACGAATGGCCACATGAGACAGGTTGGTACCGCCAACTGGACCCATGTTGTGTATCCGCAGAAAGAAGGTAAGCTGAGGAGGATCAGTATGTCGTTTAACCTTAGAACCGTGTGAGACAAGAAGAGAAAAGTCAGTCACTGAATACTCACTTGAGTCTGAATATGCATTGTTTGATTAAGATCTGTTGGATTACCTGTACACACTTGTTAAATGTGACCCTGTAGGCAGATGAAGGCGGCGCATTTTGGACCTGCAGAAATTTTACAACACACTTAATCTAACCAGGAAACTCACTAAGTCTTCAGTTAACTACTCATAAAAAGATGAGCGATCTGGTCAAAAACTCACCTGAGGCAGAGTGGGGCCTGTGTTGTGTCTGGTCAGAGTGCTTCTCTGCACACGGGAGTGCAAGATGTTGGAGATGTGGTTAAAGGAGGCGTATAAAGAGCGACTCTGAGGACCTGATGAGGACGAGGGAGGGACGCCTGAGGAAGAAAACTCTATTTTATTATTTATTTATATTTAAAGCAGAGGGTGTATACTGTATTATTGTGTCATAAAATAAGAAACAAAAAGGAAACACACCTCCCTTCCTTAACTGTGTCATCTGTGCCTGTCCTCCAGACTCACGTCGCTGTAATACATGAAACCTGTAGAGACTCTGATGACAATACATACTATTTTAAACACTGAAAATCCAAATTTTAATCATTAAATTAATTTTCATTACATTTCATTTTCATCATCATCATCCTTGAGTTAATGAAACTTTTTTTTTACACGCCAGCTCTGTTCTGTTTGATCACTGATATTATGTTCTAAAATCTCAACTAGGCTGTTTGGGAAACTCACCCCCAGTTTCTGCTTCAGGGTGGATGCTGCAGATGATGATGAAAAAGATAAACACCATGTTGTTTCCGGAGATGTACTTTGTGATGATGGAAAAGATAAGCACCATGTTGTTTCCGGAGATGTACTTTCAGAGTCAGACTTATGTCCAGCATCACGTCCACGGACCTGGATCACTGAAGCCTGACCACAGCGCTGATGAGCAGCCGGTGGAGACAAACATGTCAATTGAATATTTAAGATAAATGACAATATGGAGAGTTTCGCCGCGGTCATGTGAACCTGGGGCATGGGTTTATCCGCCAGCTGCTGCTCTCAGCAAGCACAGCTAGCTAGCGGTCTGCCTGCATCTTGTCACAGTGTTTTTAAAATGTACAGCGAAGCAGGAGCCCAAATTCGTCTGCGTGTTGCTGAAAAAACGTTACTTTTGGGTTGAAAACCTACATATCGGGTGTATGTTACCGCTTCGGTCTCCGTTGTTGAAGACTTGTTTTTCGAACATAAACTTCATCATGGAAACTTTTGCTACCGCTGCACTTTGGAAAAGATTCCAAAACTTGGAACAACGGCATTTCCTCTCAAAGCGATTAATTCAACAAAGTACACCCGGTCATTTCCGATGTGGACTTTCAAAATAAATAGGCATACGGAAACGTTGTCTACAGTTGTGCAGGCTACGCTTTTTTACACCCGCTTTACCCTTTCTTCTTAAATAATACACTACTATTTATAAACTGTATACGTTTGCAGGACACCATCTCCCATTATAATACAAAAATGCAGATGCGTTTTGCTAGTAAATTAAGCCTTGCACTCTCTGTGCTTTTATACTGAAACTAACGGAATGTATGTTTCGACCTCGCGCTAGAAGAATTTATTCTTCTATAATCCTTTCACCTATTGGTTCAAACTCTTACAAAATGTTCTTTTGTTTATTTTGTTAAATACCATGTCAACATCAGTAAGTTAAAATATAGTACAAACGCGAGCTGAAGAAAATCAGGACAATGTTTACAACATCAGTAAGTTAAAATACAGTACAAACGCGAGCTGAAGAAAATCAGGCGACAAAAGTAGTCAACTCGGTTTCCAGTTTCCAGATCGATGTAACCAGTGATGCAGTTGCTGCAGTTGTGTTTTCCAAAATACACAGTTGGATCACACTGCGGTGGATTTGCTACGAAATGACTGGAAAAGAAGCGACAGCCGGATGCGACGCGGACGCGACGGTGATTTTCGCCGAGTCTGTGTATGTCAACATCGAGCTGCTGAGTGTGGCCACAGTGTGTGGAGCTCTGACCGGAGCTTTAGCCGCTGCTCTCCTCTACGTCTTCTGTCTGAAACCCCTGCTAATCAACAGACAAGTGAGAAACAACACACTTCAGCAAAGACCACTTTGTCTTTAGGAATATAATTATGTTTTGAAGTGATTAACAACAAGGTACATTTTAAACAGCATTCTAAAAGAATGAATATTTGGCAAATAAATAGTCATTTTTCTTTTAAAAAATTAAAATGATAAATTGAACTATTTAAACATTTTTTAATTAAGTTTTTAAAAAGAAAGAAAGCAACAACAAGCCTAGGTCAGACTTGTTTAGTTGATGCAGACGCCGCTTTTTAAACGTCAGGATCAGCTTTGTCTCTGTATATGAATATGGATAAGGCCTATCTTAAATAAGGTAACATGCTTGTAATATCACATAGTGACATGATAAAAAAAAATCTGGGGAGGAAACTATAATTTTTAAACCACATGTACTGTCTCAACAGGGCTACAATGCAAGGAGACTGCTTGAACCTGACGATGGGGAGCAGGACAACAACCACAGTGACTGTATCAGCAACAGTAGGAAGGAGGTGCCTAGTGGTACCACCAATGAAAAAGTATTACTCTTTCTCACAAACACTGTCTTTGTCCCATATTGTTACAAACCTATCCCTACCTGTAAATGAGTGACGTGTGTGGGCCCACGTACAACCTGTGGTCAAAGTTTTTGGAAAATAGTGTTTACTAGTCTTTAGCCGTTAAATCTGAGTCTGCCATTAAAGATGTTTACTTATTGACCAGGAAAAGAAGCAGCCACCCATGAACAGTGACGTAGCAGCATTTGCCTCCAGAGCAAAGGTGGTTTATCCCATCAACCAAAAATACAGAGTAAGTTGGGTTTTTGCTCCCTTCCTGTCTAACACAGAGTCATGTTTGGATGAGTTAAACTCAGGTGGAAGTTTAACTTCAACATGGTGTAGTTAGTTGTATGTAGAAAAGTTGTACATTAACAGTTTGTAATGACATCATCATCTCAGCCTTTAGCAGATGGAGCGTCTAACCCATCGCTACATGAGCAGACCAGGTTGCCAACAGTGGCACACGAGGAGTCGTCTTCCTCCACAGGTGAAGACTCTTTGAGCCAAGAGCAGGACAATGATGACAGCAGTCACTTCATCTCCTCCTCACTGGTCCCTAAGAGCCTACAGAACCAGAGCTTCACCCGGGTGTCTCACTACCCTCACACACTGACCCAGGCGGGGTGAGAGCCTGTGCTTTTTAATGTTATAAACACAAGTCAATTCTGTTTTGCTGTGTCTTAAAGTTATGTTGATTAGAATGAACAGAACAAGGTTTGCTTGAAGTGATTTTTTTTCTTGATTATTTCTGCAGTTTTGAAGGCAGGATCAGCCTTTACTGTTTAGCTCTGCAGGACATTCAGCAGCTTTGTTCTAAGCTACAGGAAGACAAATACACAGTGAGTTGATATATATTTGAGTTTTTCAGTTCCAGAAACATTAAACCTCCTTTAATTGTCATTAAAACCTACATATGTGGTTTGATAGTTTACCTTTATTCAATACAAAAAGGACAATCCTTAAACTGCCCAATCATTTAAACTGAAACCCGATAACTATTCAATCTGCTAGTTAAAAAATACACAAAATTACTTCTGTAATTTTTTTTTCAGTTCTAATTTGAGTCTGCTTCTTTTTTTTAATGTACTGCGTAATTTCTTTTCAATGTAGAATAAAGGTTAAACTGATTACTACATAGAACATATATAATTTAGTTCTTGTCTAGTCTAGGGTTAATTCCAGTATTTTTTTTATAAATCTTCTAGATTTTTCTTCAAATGCTGAAAATGATTTTTAGCAGCAGATTCCCTAAAGACAAAAGCGATGCAGACTTCTGCAGGAGAATTCTTCAAGGGCAGGAAAAGGTAAAGGCAAGCCAGCTTCTCTTTTTAAGAACTTAAAATATATATGTTTTTAACAATTTAACCCTTTAACTTTTTTTAGAAAATAAATGAGCTTCAGAAACAGCCGTCATCAGGCCATATTGCTGAGAGGAGCAATGACTCTTCCTGTACATTGGAGGAGATCGAGCGAGCTCAGAAGGATCTCTTTGAAAGCAGTCTTCATATGGTAATTGGAGTAAATTAGAGTTTTTATACATGAATACTTATTTTATCCTAAACGTGATAGTCTAGTGATAAAATGTCCTTGTTTATAGTCCAAAGGTTTTAGCAAACAGTTGGCAGACCTGTTTCACCATCTCCTGGGAAAGACTAGCGTTTTCTCCCGGGATGAAGCTCAGGATGTGATGCTGTCTCTTGTTCAGAGTCTCGTGTCGGTTGAAAACCACCTGGTGAAGACACAAGAGGCTGAGCTCAGAGTGAGAAACACAAGCTGATTCCTCACGTGGTGCATCATGTCCTGTGAGACTGTAAAAATGGACTGAATGAATAACTGAACGTCTCTCACTGTTCCAGAGAATCCAGGAGAAGCTGCTGTGGTGGGAGGAGCTGACGGGACTTCTTCAGTCCCAGCCAGCTGCACTGAAGAGAGAAGTTTGTCTGCGGCTGAGTTTGATCACCACGACCCTGGAGCAGCTGACTAGTGATGATGTCTTGACCTTTAACCACATGGAGAAGATACTTTCTGATGTTCAGGGCATCCTGGGGAAAAGCTTTCAGCAGTGCACCGAGGGTGAGAGGGAGAGAGGGTAAAAGTTGCCCTGTTGTAGCAGACATAGATATATAAATTTAAATGTCTAAGCCAGGATAAAAGAACAACTTACCAGCACACACTGATCATGGTTTGAAAGTGTTTGATTATGCTGAAGTGGTCTCTGGTGGAAGGCACCAGTGGACGACGTCTAACCTACTTTTCAAACACAAATGAAGAACTCTCCCAAAATAGAACCCTTTCTGGAAATCCTCTTTAGCTCATGAAACAAGGTCAGGTTCTTCCAGGACAAAACTGAGCATCACATTTTTTACTGCTGCTCTGTTATACACTGCATTACAGACACTCAGAGTGCTGTCCTCCAGTGTAACCTCGTGCAACAATAATAAAAAAAAGACATAAAAGACTCAAATTTTATTTTAAATGTAACTGAAAATGCACTTTGCATCTTGTGCTCTTTTTATTTATTCTGTTGATTTAGTGGATCTAGTTGAGGTGAATTACATATTGGAGAATATTATTGACTTAATTACAACCCCAATAAATGAGTAGAATCCGGAATGACGTTCACTTGTTCTTCTCGTGCTGTAGATTGCTCACAGAAGACGAAGGAGCTTGTCATCGACAGGTGCAATAAAATAGAGTCCAAGCGCAAGAAACTGCAGAGGAGCCAGACCAAGGAAAAGAACCGTGTTCTGGAACAGACCCAGGCTCACGCTGACCTCCAGCAGCTCACCAAAGTAACAGCATTTTGTCTTCTTCACTTTATTTTGTAGAATCAAACCAGGATTTGGAAATGTGGTTGGTTTACTGAGACCACTGTCACAACAGTTCATGAGTCTGTTCTCTGCCTTCACAACACAGTGAATGTTAACATAAATGCAGACAAAAAAACACAAATACACTGGTGTTTAAATCTGACCTCTGACCTTTGGCATAGGAGTACCAGGAGCTGCTGCTCAGACATAGGCAGCAGACGTCTGATCTGGAGCTGCAGCAGGAGAGCAGAGTGGCTGACGCTCTCAGTGACCTTTGGAGGGTAAAAAATAAATACATTTTAAGTTGTATGTGTTCAACACAGAGTCATGTGGTACTATTTCATAGTAACTTGTGATGTGTGTGTCTTCAGAAACTACGTACTTCCTGGTCAAACAATTTCAGAGACCAAACCAAGGACAGTTTCTTGGCCTCAGTCTCTGCCCAGTCCAACGTCTCTGCAGAACGCTGTGAGAAGATGTGGACAGACCTAGAGCAGGAGGTAGAAGTACAACTGCAACAGGTGGAGTGCACAATCGAGCTGCAACTGAAGAACGTGAGGTCTCAGCTGGACAAGGATGGACAGGTGGAGTCCACAAGTTGGATCTCATGCATTTATCATCATGTCAGACTGGAAAAATCGTCAGTCAGAGAAAATAGCATAACTGGGAAAAAAATCGTCAGTCAGAGAAAATAGCATGTGGTCATAGAGTTGAGTTGAGTTCATAATTAATTACTATAATTATAATGGCTCACACTACAGCAGAAAGAGGGTGGAACGCTGGTGCTGATCTTTGCTGTGGTGTGGAAAATTTCATTTTTTGACCAGCAGAGGGCAGCTGTGTGTATTTATATCATAAAATGAATACATCCCGAGAAAGAAAAGAAAGAAAGAGAGAAAGAGCCGCAAGGATTTATGTGGCAGCAGCCAAACAGTTGTGGCAAATCTTAAAGAAATGTTTTGACATTTTTTAAATTAATCAGATTAGGTTTATTTTTGATAAATAAATAATTTCTGATACAGCAACATACCGTCTTTTCTCATGTTAGGAATGTTAATTCATCTTGACTATTTACAATTAATCATGATCAGAAAAAAATCAATTATTGTGTAATGTTACCATTTGAATTTTGTTTCTTTAAGCTGCCAAACCTGGGCCATTTTTGTAATCTAAATGATCCAAGTTATCAGTCACACAAATTATTCACTGCTTCTGTTTTCCTCTAAATAGGAGCGTAATTAATAGAACGTGTTCTATGAACTTAACTCCAGCAGTAGGTAGTATGCCATAACTCTAGCACAGGCTCTAAGTCAAATATGTCACAATCTCTTGATCAGTATATAATCATATAAAATTATAGGTTCAGTGTGAGCAATCACTTAGTGAATACAAGAAACGCAGCATCAGAGCCAGGTGCCAGTCAACAGTTGCTGTTCTTAACATTTCTTCTACTTCTCTAGATGTGGACTGAGGAGATGTCTTTGACACAGTCTTGTCTCAAACATCTAAGTGAACAACAATTGAGGATTCTCACAGACATGGTGTCCAGACAGAGCTACACTCTCAACAGGTGTGATGTCTTTCTCTTCTTATTCAGGTTGTGAATGACAGTGCTGCTGCAGTTTGTGGGCATATTTGTTTTATATAGGAATCAATAATATTGATGTGCTTTAATATGGTGCAATATAATCTGGTGCTCAGGGATGTAGGGCGGCTGGTGGAGAAGAAACATGAGCACCTGTTGGCTGCAGTGCAGAGGAGTTTTGTGGTCAGACACTTCTGTCTTCACCTGCTGAAGGAGATGAGGCTGTCCAAGCTGAAGGTGCTCTCTCAGACTGACTTCAGGGCCGTGTTGATGGAAGATCCCAGCAAAAGCTCACTCTGTGTCAGTTCATCACTAAAGGTACGGGAAACAGTGATGCATGATGAATGATGTGGCTTTATTTCATACTGGAGTCTGAGGATAAATGATGTGGAAATGTCTCCGTCTGTTATCAAACTCAGAACAGCAGTGCCAGTCTAGCAGAGAAACATCTGGGCCCAGAGAGTCAACTGGTGAGCCACAGTTTCCAGCAGGAGTTTCTGTCCGAGTTGGAAACAGGAGTGGAGTTGCTTCAGAGCCACGCACAGATGGTGGTTGGTCACGCCCTCAGTCAAGCTGTCCAGCAGATGATGGAGACCACAGCTTCAGAGTCAGGACTCTCTTCAAAAACAAATGACAACTTAAAGGTTTTAATTCCTTTTTTTTTTTTTTTTTTTTTTAAGAAATTTACATGAAGTGTTTCTAACCTTTTAATAAACAATAGGGTTTTGTCTGTCCTTAGCACCACTTGATAGAGGCTGTGTCAGAAAGTGTTTACCTGACCAAAGACTCACTCACTGCTCTGGTCCAAAGCTACTATTCACATCTACAGGACCTGACCAGGAATCTCCTGCAGGAACAGCCCAGACTGAACCAGGGTGAGATGTCAATTCATCAAATGAGTGAATGACATTGTTGTTGAAAGATAAGAACCAATTAAATTTGTCAAAAAATTCAGAACTTGAAAAAACTCAGCAGCCTCTGTGCATGCAGTTCAGTGGTTTCTCAAATGGCCAGTGTTTAAAATGTGTCCACTCTGCTCTTATCTTTTATATATCTTTATTTTCTCCACGTTATTTTTGTTGCTGTCTCTGTCCTTATCTTTTTTAATAGTTATGTATCATGTTTGTGCGAACACAGCTGTTATTTTTTTTGTTGTTCTAAATTGTCTGAAACTTCACAGAAACTTGACAGAGCCAATTAAAATGACACCGTTCCTCTGGTGCACTCAAACCTGATGTAGTATTTTAATTAATTCTTATGCATTTATAACATCATTAATGACTTTTGGAAGAGAGTTTCATTAGTGAGTTACTTATGTTATTTACAAATGAAACCATACACTTTTGTCCATTTATCTTTCAGAGATAAATGAGAAGCAGGAGAGCAGCAGTCAGCTGAACAGAGCCCTGCAGAGGGAGCTGCTGAACTGGGGCAAAAAACCTACGTCTGCTGAGTTTCAACAGAGGTAAACCAACACAGACAAGGTTTATTTTTATTGGGTTTTTCTATTTTACCATTTTTTATTTTTGTTCAACAGGGTTGAACTTAACAAAAGGAGAGCGTTGGATCTCTGTGATGTAAAACAAGAGAAGACGTATGAGGAGCTGAGGCAGAAGAAAGTGGCCCAGGATCGAGACATTGAAAAGGTCAAAGGACAACTTGAGGTCAGCGTCTGTTATATCAACTGTATTTCGCTCTCATGTTTTTTAAAAATAAAATAAAATAGCATGCACACACAGTGAGAGCTAATTTATCTGGCCCATATAGAGTATTCAGACACATTGGTTGAAGCCTAAATCACTCACACTTTTAATTTAGCCTCAAAACTTACCCAACAACTTTATGTAATTTAGAATAGTCGTACAAGCCACACTTTAAAGAGTGGACAAAAATTAGATTTTTGGCCTATGGTCACCTACTAAAAACGAATTGTAGAAAACTAAAAAGTCAGTGTTACTGTCTCAATTAGGAGGCTGAAGAGCAATTCATAAATGATCTGGCAAACTTGGCCCGAGTTTCTATGCACAGTCCAGAACCAGAACCCAGCGAAGAAGCGAACAATGCAGGTGAGTAACAACAATAAAAGTCAAGTGAAAAAGGATTAAAAGTCAATGCGTACTGACCTCTCTGTGGCATTTCTCATCAGGTGATCAGAGTTCTACAATACTGGACCTGTTAGCCCTGAACCCAGCTCTGGATCCTGCCAAGAATCCATCGCTGACTCCAACCGTTACAGCTCCAGTGGCTAAATCCAAGATAAAAAAGAAAAAAGCACAAAAGTCCCATCTCAGCTGAGGGTGATAACATTGTGATTTACATTAAAGTTTACATTTTAATCAACCTTTTTTAGCAGGGCTGATGCATTATATATATGTGGGCAAAATGTTCTGGAACAATAACAGCTATATAATGTTTAAATGTGTCGGCTAAAGCTCATTTGCTTCTGTAATTGCAGTCAAGTTTAAATCCTGCCAATCTGTAAAGTAATAAATCTCTTCCATATGGACGATTTGTTCATTTTTTTATCAACACTTAATACACAGAGGTTTCCTGCTGCAGGCTACTGTTATTTTGTCCTTCATCCAAACCCACATTGCATTTCATACCATGCCTCATTCACTGCATTGATTCCTATTGATTGCTGAGTACATATAGGATGATGGATGTGCTTCCAGTTGAGTTGTCGGTTGAATTGGAGATGTCCGTTGTGATTGTAGCGGAGTGCAGCTACTCAGCGATGAAAGCCTTGCCCTTCACTGGCTCTAATGGGGTTTTAAGTAAAGTCTTTATGGATGATAATGCGGAGTAATGGTGAAAAGTACTGGAGGGCTGAAGTCTGGCAGGCACTCGTGTGTCCAGGCAGCAATCTAGCAGGCAATTCACCCTGCGCCTTGTAGTTTACTGTCAGTTTAGAGTTTTAGGAGTGTCAATTAGCAAACATCAATTTTTAATCTGACCTTTATTTTCATGCTCACCTTGGATACATTACCAATTATTGTCACAGCACGCTGAGAAAATATGTTCCTGGCTCTGCCTCCCTCACGCACACATGCTACAGCGTCCTGCCAAGAGTGCAGTGTGTCTCTCCTGCTGTGCATGTATCAGAAATACTATCAGAAATAAGTTCTGTCGCTCGTCTACGGCGAGGGGAAACCATTTGGATGTATTCTGAGGTCCCTTAGGGTGCTGCAGGGACTTGTGGGAAGATGACCTGATTTCTGATTTCCTCCTCTCCTGCCTGCCTGGACTGTGAGATCTTTGCAGCTACAAACACAGAAGCCGATGAAAGGACTGTGACAGAATGAGCCGTCCTGGATCTATTTGGAACAGTATAACCGGAGACCAAGCGCCGGCTTTAATGGACCTGCTTTGAATAGATTCAGGTGAGTGGCAACAACCCTGAGATCACCTCTATGAATGTAACATTAGTCACACGTTCACGAGCTAATTTACGTTTGTAATGTCAAAAGTGTAGTTCCTTTTGAGACACAACAGTCCCCTTTGATTTCAAAACACTCATCTTAGCCCTTTACATGAAATGAAATGTCACAAACTACAGTTAGTCATTTCCTTCGATGCAGAGCGTGTCCTGCAGCAGGTAATAGAAGAGTGTGGAATAAAAATGTCCAGTGAGGTAGAGCTGTGCGCAGTGTTACAGCGTCATCAGATCAGATGGTTGGTTATTTTAAGGCCAAAAATAAGGTCGCTGTGCAAACTGCTACTCAATGAGGATTTTCCATTCTACGACGACTTCATCAACTACGTACAACTGCAACAACCCCTTACAACTAGATGAGAATTATTTCGATTGCAATATAAAAAATATTTATTGTGCACCATGACATACAATTTATATGTATATATATATATGTATTACAAATGTGACCATTTTTTGAAGTTGCAATTTAATGTTTTAAATTCTACTTATATTGCTTTTTACATATGATTAAAAAACTACTTTTAGCATCTTTCTATGAATACAAACTTCATGCAACTTCATAAAAACAAGCAAAAACTATTTTTTATACTTTAAAACTTTCAGGTACTGCCATGGCTAACCTGCAACAGGAATACCCGGGGGTCCTACTGGGGATCCTGGAGGAACTGGCCAACATGCGCCAGTGGCTCACTTTCCAGGACCTCTGTCGGATGGTCAGCACCCGCTTCGACCTGGAGCACCTCATCGAGCTCAGGAGTCTACTTTTTGCCGCTGCCAGTCGCGACCCGTGTTTCCCTGCCACACTCTTCAGAGATCGTGTTTCCACCAGAGGCCAGGGACTGTCGCCTATAGGTGTCGCTGCTGATATTGTGACAATTTTTAATCTAATCCAGATGACGGGTGGGGCTCCCGATGACAGTCAGCCAATGAGTGCCCAGACAGTCCTTCCAGTTGATCAGTATCCAAGCCCCAGTCTGCCTGGAATTCACCAGCTAAACATCTCTGCTCGAGAGAGAACACGCGCTCACTCAGATTCTGGGGGAAGGCCTATTGATCAACATTTTCTGATTCCAAACTCTAGTTACTCATCCCGCAAGCGAGGAAGTCTTCCCCCTGATCCCATCTCCCTTGTTCCCACCCCTCCAATCAGGGCGAGAGCTGTGTCTTTTGACTTGCCTCACACAACACATTTGTACTCTAGTGGTCAAAGTCACGACGTCATGAAGAATATTTATTTGCCTTTGGAGACGGACAGTGAGTCCAGTGGAGATTCTGCTCAAGGGGAAGTATTTGAAGCTGAGCAGGCGTCATCAGTTGACCAGAAGAGAAACATCTTTAGGAAGGACTTCCATAACCAGCCTCCTTTAATTCCACAGGTCACAGTCAGTGAATCTCCAAGTCCCAATAAACCGCAGTCAGGCTTTGACAATCAGAGTTTTGAAATGATTCCAAATCCTTACCCTTCACCAACTGTACTCCACCAAAAGCCAGAGCAGCGGGCAAAACACGAAAGTCTTGATGACCTGCAGGACTCTACTTATTTTGGACCTGGGTCGCTTCCAGACTGGTCTCCGGGACACCTTCATCCACCCAAGTCACAGAAGTCCATCTGGAGCAACAAAAGTCACAGTCTGGAAGATCAGATAGGCATGAGCACTGCCGGAATAGAACCCCAAAGGATACAACTTCCCAGGCGATCTACACCTGCTTTGGGCTCCACGGGAGGTGAGAGTGCAGATAGTGGATTGCCAAGTGGAGGTGATGGAGTCAAAGCTCAGGGAACCCAGACTGACCCACCGGATCCCCGGCGTCTTCGCAGCCTGGTCCACGCAGATCGTCTCTCCTTCATGACATCTTTGGATGACCCGGAATTTTGTGAGGACGACATCAGCGCTATCTTTCGTTTCTTAGACGACATTAGCATGTGTGGTTCAACTGGGGTCCTGCACCCCAGTGATGGAACAGGGACCCTGAACCAAGACACACCAGAGGCCAGACGTGGACGCCTGGGTCAGCTGCAAAGGCTTTTTCACTCACTGGAAAGCAGCGATGATGGGCTGAAGGCCAGCGTGTGTAAGCTGCTGCTCCGTATGAGCCAAATAGAAAGACAACTGGAATCACTGAACGATGTAAAGGCGGAGATTTCTCAAGTGCTTTCTGCTCTGCAGAGGCTGGACGAAAAGATCCAGCAGCCGGTGAGTGGTGTTGGACAAAGTAGCAGCAGCGGTCGATGGCTGGAGCCTCTCAGTGGTGTTTCCTCATTCATGAGCCACCCTGTAACTCCGTCTGAGTCGTCAGAGCCACAGCCTCTGTCAGTGTCTGGACAGCTGTACCCAGCGACCAGCACCAGTAGTCTGGACTGGAGCAGATGGAATGTTCCTGAAGAACAGACAGAGAGCAGCAAAGGACAGGCTGATTTAAAGGGCGGAAAAAAAGAAGGGAAGAAGGACGCATCGTCTCGCCGCACCTCTAAAACACAGCCTGAAGAAAAAGGTGTCTCTGATTCTAAACAGCTCAATGTGGTCAGTTCTGCCAAAGACTGGAGCGTTTCATTCTCTAAAGGTAAAAATGGAAAAGCTTCGCATGGAAAGATTGAGCAGGTAGGACATTTTTTTCTGGTTTAGATTTTACCTCTATGTTTTTGGTTGAGGTCATGAGGCCAATCAGACTGAAAGCAATATTTGGGTTATTTGAAGAATCCTTTAGTGCATTCTGCAGTAACGTTTTTTCTCACATTATTGTGATTTAACGTGACATGTTTTTAATGTGTTCCTTATAGGGAGATCAGTCGAGTAGCACGACTAACCTCCTCACTCAAAAAAAGTCAAGTCTGGTGGAGCAAGTGTTTAACTCGTCCCTGTTTCGTCATAAGGACAGTAGTCTCACTGGTGGACTGACCTCTGGGAAGGTCATAGAATCCAGACTGGCCGAGGGGAGGGGAAGACCCATCTGGACTGTAGATGACAGAGAGGCGAGGATCTCTCCTATGGACATGCAGGTGGGAATGGGTTGAAAAGGAGGGCCAAGTACAAATACAAACAGCAGGCTGATTTGTTTCTTTTTTATCGTAATTCCTGAACACTTAACATGCACAGCAAGTAGTAGTAGAATTTTATTGTTAGTGAATATTTGACCTTTTCTGAATTTGTTTTTTAAACACTTAACATGCACAGCAAGTAGAATTTTATTGTTAGTGATTATTTGACCTTTTCTGAATTTGTTTTTTCAGACCCAAGAGTCTCTGAATCCCAACAACATGGAGTTCTGGATGGACGACATCTACACTCCGGGCTACGATGCACTGCTCAGACGTAAAGAGGCTGACATGCGTCGGGCCAAGGCCTGCAAATTGGCTGCACTTGTGGGAACCGTGGTCTTAATCATTCTCATCATTGTCATTCCTATTTGCACCATGAAGTCGTGAAGACAATCTCAAATGATCCACATCATGATCTACTTTATTTTTATTAGTAGTATTTATTCATTTGTTTTCAGTAACTTCTGTTCTGCGCCAAAATTTGGAGAGTGAGACTGGTGAGAGTGGGACTTCTCTGCATGTAGCACCAAGACGTCAGGAAGATGAATGCGAGTGTCGCTGGGCAGGCTAACAAAAAACTGTTTTTAGATTAGGTTGTTATAGCATGTAAAATTAAGTGATCTTTTATTATTTTTTCTGAATGAGTTAGTGTCACATTTCATTGCTTTGTTCTTGTATATGTTATATATTTTATGTAATGATTACTAACTATGAAAGCTTAATACTGAGCCAATGCAATGTGTAACATTTAATTTCCACTGCGTAGTTTTTATTTTCATTCGGTTTTTGGAATCAACACTGTTAGAAAATAACATTGTGAATCAGCTTCAGCCTTGAGCACTGCCTGACTATTTTGCTATCCCCATGAGAACACTACAGGGCTAAAATTCCTCCTTTTTAAAACAATAGTTTTATCAGTACTTAAGGGTTTTACATTTACTGTTTTATCAAGTGAAACTGATGGATTCTGTCCACAGCAGTGTTTTTTTCTTTCTTTTTTTATTGTATCTTTGTTTGAATCACCTTGTACCTCCGCTAAGTAACAGGCTGAACAGCAGCACTCAAACTTAAATCAATAAAACAAATATGATATTTTTCTAGAGTTTTCTCCCTTTTCTCTTCCTGGAAAAATATGGGCTGTTTAATACACTCTTAAATGTGTTTGTGTTGCCTGACAGTGTGTTTACCAGGGATCAGGTTTCGAGAAATGGAGGATAAAAGTGTTGTTGTTGTTGTTGTGGGTCATGATGATGTTTTGGCCCTGGAGCTGTGAAGGAGAGGGGAAACACTTTTCCAGTAAACCCTCTCTGAGTGGGAGATTCCAATTGTAATCCAATTGATGGGATGCTCGGAGTGCACCTATGCACATTATCTTTTTCCTGCACTCCCTCGGCCAGAGCTTTTCCATACACCATCATACTCACTTAGCACCAACGGGTTCAGCTAGTTCCCTTCAGACATGGTGAAACATTCCATTTTCTAAAGTCCTCCTCACTTCAGTAGACATTTAGTCTACACTGAAGATGGTGGTGCAAAAACAACCCACGAATAAAAAACAAAATATGTAAACCTGTGACTTAGCTTAGTTTGATTTATATTGCCGTTTAACTGAATCTGTGATAAACTGTATTTTGCACATCTGTTCTCATCCAAGCTATAAGATTACTGAATAATAAAAAGGAATTGTTACTGCAGGGCCGACGGACTGGGTTGCATTATATTTCTTGGATATTCATGTTTCTGTGCTATCTACTTAACATTGCTAGCTATGGATTATTTTCATTAGATTACACAGATAAGCTTTTTTTTTCTTCTCTCAATTTATGGAACAGACACCAAAGTGCACTAAATGTCTGTGTGGGGGAGCTCTAACAAATCCCTGTAGTGTTTTGTGGGACCCTTGAAACTAACTTTGCTTTCTGTACAAAAACTGCACAGGATGTATAGACAGCATCTTCCTGAGTAGGTGTATATCAACAGAGTGTTCCCCCTGAGACCGTTTGTGGATCCATTATCCTTCCATCGGTGCCGCAGACTAACGCTGTACTCAGCACAATTAGCAGGTGCTTCCTCTGAAATGTCAGTGCATGAGAGCTGTCTGATGGTTTTTAATGCTGAAATTTGTAATTTTATTACTGCAGAATCATGCACTTTTCTTGACAGATAACAAGAAATCTGTGAACTCATTATTCAGGTACACACTCTTACAAACAGCATGTAAATTAAAGGGAAACCTGTGGGTGTCACTGTACCCAGGTTAATGTTGCACAATGCTTTGTATGACTGTAAACAGAGAATGTTGACTTATGTTACCCATCTGAATAAACTTGAGAAAGTGGTGACATGACTTTTGCAGTATGTTTACCTTTTCATCAGTCACTATTACCATAATGCAAATGAATCCACCTTATATTTGTACAATGAATGCAAAATAGGTAATTGAAAGAAAGCACTGTACTTATGCAACTTTAATCATAGTTGGGAAAATAAAGAACTTTTCAGTTCAAGAACAACAAAAGCTATCTGGTGTAAAAGGTGAGTTATGGCAGTTTTAATGATCTGCGACTGGAGGAAATGCACACGTAGAGATGAATAATTGAAAAGGACAGCTAACGCATATTGACTGACAAATCCTATTATCTCAGATCAACTCTAATGGGCCTGCAGGATTCACATGCACACTCGTACCTGCACACAAAATAACACTACATCAAACAGCCAGTACATTGGGAAGACAATCTTTGACACACATCGGCAACGTGTGCTAAAAACTCACAGCTGTGAATTGATCGTGCATGGGTATACTTATTATCTTCATTGCTCTGCAGAACTGCCACACCTAGATATGACGCTGTCTGTGGTTGATTCATGATTCTGTGTTATGTGATTCCCACAACAACAGCAGAGTACAGTCACTGACTGTTTCAAATCATTTTTGGAATTCCACTGTGAATATGGGAACGGCTTAGAGCAAAAGGCTTATGAACAGGAATGACAAACATGTGTTAACGGTCATGGTGTGACAGACCCAAGGCTGAACTTTGTCAACCTCCAATTGGATTATCAAGTTACCAATTTTATTTTAGCTTTTTATTCACAGAAATATATTGTCTCTTGATGCTCTTTTCAAGAAGATTCAAATATTTAAAAGAAAATGCAAGAAAGTGCAAAGTACTGTCCTCATATTTGATACCCTAGTTAGAATTACAGAAAATATTACAATTTTGGAATATTCTATGAATTGTTTTTCAGATACACTGATAAAACGTTTTTTAACCAAAAAAGATTCTCATTGGTTTTTTAATGTAAAACAAGCTTTTAGTCATATTTTTGCTATGTGTAGTAAGATGTAAACGTTTTCCGTTCTATAGTCAGAATGTTCTGAAAACAATATATTTTTTAAAAATTAGACAAAACAGGACTGTTTGACTGAATACCGCAAGAAAACGTATTTATTGAATCAATACAGAAAAAAGTCCGATAGATGGCGATAGAGCGCCCGCACTTCCGTTGACTACGACACAACGAGGAAGAAAACTGCGCCGGTTTTGAAAGTTGAAGAAGAACGTTAAACTTTGTCAGACAGGTGTGGCTCTGCTTTTACTGTCCATGCTGTGAAAGAAAACGCCGAATAAACTCAGCGGCAACACCACGACGCTTTCAACATATGTGAACTGGGTTTCACGGAAGTATATCGCGCAGGTCAGTGTTTTTTTATGTATTTACCGAAATTATTTGTATTGGACGAGGAAAGTTTAAATCACGTCACTCCACCACAGAACTAACGATAGCACACACAGCTGGAACACGTACGTACTGTTACTGCAGCAATCTTCATTTGGTTTGCTTATTAAATAATATTTAGATTTTTGTTTGGAAATCGAGATGAGAAGATTGTGCTTTATCTGAAAAAAGATTCACCTGCAAGTATAATTAAAATTTACACTTGTTTCCATTTTTAATCTCTCAACATTACTCTATAAATTATAGGCTTAATGAGGATTTAGAGCACACGTTGATACCTGCAAAATACAACATGTTCACAATGTATATGTTTATTTGTAATTCGCGAAGACAACGAGGCTGCGATGATTACAGTGCGGCTCGTATTTTGTTTTTTTGCTGTACTGTATTTATTGCATTACCTCCTGGTAACTAATGTTGATTCTGCGCTGTAATCAAACGCTACCCTGGCTGCAGCAGGACACCATGGAGTCTCCGGTGGTGAACCTGTACAACCAGTTCCAGAGTCTCAGAGCTCAGGTCGACTGTCTGAATGAAGGCATTGAACCACGTGAGTTATTTTCTCAACCTGTTGCTGTATTTTGTCTGTCAGTCAAACTGGGGGGAACTATTTAGTCAAAGAAACCAGGTCTGATTGGTATGGGAGGGACAAAAACGTTATAACTACTGTATCAGCATTATCAGTATTTTTATTGATCTGTAAAATGTTGACAGTTCATCTTTAAAACATGAATTAAAACTGAGTTTGTGTTAAATATGTAGTGAATTATTAACCACGCGGTATAAATGAATGAATGCAAGTAGTAAAAATCATTTCCATGTCAATAGTCCATTTGCATCTGTTAGCAGTGCACTTCCTTTCTTTGTCCTAGTTTCAATGTTGCCAGGGTGACCTGAATGCTTCTCATTCTTATCAGTTCTTGAAACTGAGCTGTGCACAGCTCTAACTCGTCATTATGTTTTCTTTTCTTCTCCAGAGTTCCTTCAAATGACTATGAATTTTGAAGAGTGCCGGAAGAAGTGGCTACGGGCCACAGAGGAGCTGGTTAGTTGTAAAGAAATGTTGACCAAAGCAGAGACAGAGAAAGGGTCACTGGATGTAAAACTGAAGCACGCTCGCAACCAAGTGGACGTGGAGATTCAGAGGCGGCAGAAGGCCGAGATGGTTTACGAGAAGCTGGTGTGTGTCTAGGATTTTCTACCTCCTGTAGTCGTTCATGCATTTTTAATATTTTGTTTGAGAACCAGACTAAAATATCTAGATTAAGATCACAGATCATGTTTAGAGAAAAAAAAGTATACCTGTCTATCCATGCACAAGACATGGGTAATTTAATTCTGTTTTTGTTTTTTTCTCTCTTTTTTCTTCTGGTCTATGGATTTAAAGGAACGTCAAGTACAGCTGATTCGCGAGCTGCTGATTTCAGAAAACAACAGTGTTCACCTCAGTGAAGAGCAGCGATCTGCACTGGCCTTTCTCAGTGCTCACTCCCAAGCAGTGCAGGCTGCTAAAGGCAACCTCAACTCCAGCCAAAGGTCTTTCCATTTAAAGCTAATTCTTTGTTTAGACTTAATGTAATGATCGGTGATTGTAACTTCTTTAATTTTTGAGTAATCTGAAGGGATAATACTGTAGCATATTCTGTGTACTGTTTTCTAATTAATGGCATGTGTTGCAGACGGCACTATACAATCTGTGTATAGAAGCATCAAATGGAATAGGTCAGATTAAACTGTCTTCATTTTTACAGATTAACAACAATCAACGAATCAGCATCCATGCTCTCTGACATTAGTTTCGACCAAACAGATGACTCTCTGGTATGCTAACTTATCTCTTAATACTGTAATTTATTTCATACATTAATGTTATTATGTAGGTAATGATAAAAAATGTCTTGTCACAATAGGATTGGGATTCCTCCGTGATGAAGAATGTAAGGCTACGGAAACGTCAGAAACGGGTGAGTAAATTCCCTCATTTGTTTTCATTCATGGAAATGTCATGCTCATTAGCTGTTTCAGTTTAGGAGTTAAAGTGTCCTTAAATACATTTGTTCTTAAATCCCAGCGGTCATCCAGAAAACTCCTTGATGTTCCCCCACAAGCTGTGAAGAAATCCCGCTCCACCGGTCGCAAATCTGACAGGGTAATACTGACCTCTGCAGCTCAGTGGACCACACAGCGATAGCAACTGATTTAAATTTATGTTGAACTAGAGAGACGGTGAAAAGTTCACAATGCTGTCAAATTCCATTAATCTTATTATTACAACACCAAAACAGTAACACAAAAATAGTTACATCTGATTTGGTCTCATTTAGATGAATGAGTCGATTGTGACCAAAACTACAATCACTGTACCTGTGAACGGTGTCGCCGTGGCGGCTGTGTCCACCATTGAAACTGTGCCGTACTGGACACGCAGCAGAAAGAGAAGTGGTAAGAATGAATATTTGTTTAACACTTTTTGTGAACTTGAAGGTTTTTTTTTTCCCTCATTGAGTTTAGATGTGACGTGTCTGATATGTGGGTACAGTTGCTCCAGGTTGGGCGGATACGACTACTACTGACCATTCAGAGACTGCTAGTGAGGCTCCAAGTTCATCAGACTTCCCTCCCCAGTTCAAAACTCCAAAGGCTAAAGAAGGAAAAAAGCACCACTTCATCCCTAAAACAGTACGTCTGTTGACTTACTTCAGTAACAAAGACTGATGTGTGCTCCAACCACAGACTACATGTACTGTTCCCTCTCCACCAAGGTGATCCGTTCTGAGTTCTGTGTACCTTGTGGGAGAAGAACCAAGTTTGGCAAGGTTTATCTTCGCTGCCAGGACTGTCGGCTGGTGACTCATCCAGAATGTCGTGAGCGAAGCCCGATGCCGTGCAATCCCACAGCAATCAGCACTCCCATCAATAACGCAGAGGTAGTAACTACTGCGTTTTCAACACGATTTATCGGCACAATTTTTCATAGTTTTATGTCTTACTTAATCCACTGTTGGCTCTCTCTGCAGGCCACCCTCGCTGACTTCGCTCCAGTCACCTCTCCAAAGATCCCAGCGTTGGTAATCTACTGCATTAAGGAGATTGAGCGACGAGGATTACATGAGGTGAGAAAAAAAAAACTAAAACATGCCTACTTTTTCATGCATGAAGATTAAAAATAAAATTAATGATGTTTCAAATCTTACTCCCCTGCAGTTAAATTATTGCAGAAAATAATGAACTGTATCTGTTGTTTTTCTCGCTCTAGGTCGGCCTCTACAGAGTGTCTGGCCAGGAGCGTATGGTCAAAGATCTGAAGGAGAAGCTGATCAGAGGAAAGACTCTACCTCAGCTCAGCAAAATAGAAGACATCAATGTGATTGCGGGCGTCCTCAAAGACTTCCTGAGAAACCTCCCAGAGCCTCTGCTCACCTTCCAGCTCAACAAAGCCTTCATGGAATCAGCTGGTGAGTCCGAGAGACCTGCAGAACTGTATTTAAATTAGGGTTCTCAAACAGTATTGATACATTAGTGAGTATAGAAACGTCTCAGATGGAGGTTTCTGTGATACTAATGTGTTCATTGACCTTTCAATGTCTTTGCAGAAATCCAGGATGATGGCAACAGTCTGGCCATGTTGTACCAGACCATTAGTGAGCTGCCTGAACCCAACAGAGACACGTTGGCCTGTGTGATGATCCACTTGCAGAAGTAATTATCACATAACATTACAGAAAATGTTTAACATGTTTTCTGTGCCAGAACCTAGAAAAATGTAGCCAGGTTATAATGAACCATCATGTTAAAGTCACTTCCTGGGTTTTTTTTTTACTCTCTCTCTCTCCAGGGTGTCACAGTGCATAGATACCAAAATGGATGTGCATAACCTGGCTAAGGTCTTTGGACCAACTCTCGTGGGTCATGCCGTTCCTGACCCAGACCCAATGACCATTCTACACGACACCAACAGACAACCCAGGGTAAAATAAATAGACCAACACAGCATGTCCCTAATGACAGAGCACAGATCTGTATCATCATGTGTCAGTATTTGGTGTCTGTTTTTTAAGGTGATAGAGCGTCTGCTGAGTATATCATCAAACTACTGGAGCCAGTTTGCCTCTCCAGATATAACTGCCATGGACAACGGTCACCAGTTTGATACTCCGGAAGGGAGAGGTTAGAATCCCTAAGATGACATGATGAACTTCGCCTTTGTTACACTTGACTGTATGGTAATATACTTTGTTAACCTGTAGTGAGCATCCTGGGGCCAGTAACCACTCCAGAGCATCAGATGATGAACAAGACACCTTCCTCCAGCTCACTGTCACAGAGAATGATGCAGACCTTATCCAGCACAAGCATGTAAGTCCTCAAAATTTAAAAAAATATGTCAACGATTACTTTTGAACTATTTAACTGATAAAATATTTTGTGTTTTCACTCATAAACATAATTTTTTCCTGCCTGAAATATTAATTTGCTTTTCTTTTTAGATTTGGGAGCAAAAGCAAAGCAACATCTGCCTCAAACCGTCAGGGGAACTTCTTCACTTCTCCAAAGCTGGTTTAACGAAGGATTAAAAAAAAAAAGGGGGGAAAAAAAGGAAACACTTATTGTTATTTTGATATAACTCACTGCAAACATAATCATATGGGGAAAACAATGTGCAATTTTTTTAAGTATACAACACTTTAATTACCAAAAAAAAAAATCTAATCAGTGTTCTAACCTGGGCTTATACAGCCGAATAGTTTTTATTGAACTTTTTTTTACTGATTGTTTTTATCTATCCTGTGAATAATAATGATTGTGTATTGACCAGAACAGGTCACATCTGTGATTGTGAAAGGGTTAACTCTTAACTGAGTTTAACCAACCATTATAAACCAATTCAATAATCATGACTTTCTATCGCCACTTGGGATTGATTTTTCCCTAAGCTGTGTGGTCATTAGTGTTTACCTGTTTCTGATCCTGTGGTTGTAACTGCAGCAGCGAACGTGAACACAGTGACTCACAGTGAAACGTTTGAAGAGAAGATTTATTTTACTCAACACTGACTTTTTCTTTCTTTCTACTTTTTTAACACTTGTGTTTTTTGTGTGTGTGTGTTCGATGAATCCATGTTATTGCCTAACAATGATGTCTTGTGTATTTTAACAATGCTGCAAAGTCTACACTGTCTATTGATTCACGTTGCTTTTTGCACTGTCCGAACTGTTTGTTAATCTCAGTGTTACGACCTGGGAGTACTGGCCACTAGGGGCTGCCATTGCACCACCTATTCTATGCAAACCTCGACCAATAAAAACGACCTACTGTACATGGTCTACATAATATTTTTACTGTAGGAAACACTACAGTTCACAACCACAGTCAATGACAAAAAAGGGAAATGTAATTCTATATAACGAAATGCCTGAGTTTTGTAGACATTTTATAACAGTAGCTTTAACTAATGGTCTTGTGCCAAAAATTCAAATATTCACATGATGTCAAGATTCTGTGCACCAAATAATAACACTACGATTGCCTTCTGAAGAGGCTCCTTTATCAACTTGATCAGAATGTGCGTTTTGGGTTTTTGTTGTCATCTGTACTGAAATGCAATTTGCTGCTGCCTCGTTGATGTTATAGTTTGAACATTTTGTTTAAAAAATGCTATGTTTGCATCCATCACACAAAATCAAAGGTGTTTTTCAGTGAGCTCAATGTTCCTTGTGTCAGGCTCCTATCCCTTTGTTTTCATCTTCATTTCCACAAAGTTGTAGGATTTACTCCTCTGACATGTAGTGGGGAACTTATACTTCCAAAATAAAGCTATGTTAAATTCTGGATATTTCTCTTCATCATTACTACATGTAGTGTATTACTACACTTATTTAACGGTTATATGTCATTACTACAGTAGTATTACTACACTTATTTAACGGTTATTTGGTTCAGCTTTTACGTATGTACAATGGAACCAAACAATATTTTCCCAAGGTTGTGAGTTAAGGAGCTTTAGGTTTGAGCCTGGGATCTGGTGGAAATCCTCTCACTGCACAAGTGTTTAAAAAAATTATATACAGTATATATGTATAAGAGCTCTTTGAAAAGCACTCTAGAATCACTCAAACATGTTTTTACATATTTTATAAATCTATGCAGTCACTTTTATTCTTATATTTTCAAAGACTAGAATGTAAATACATTGATATTCCGATCCTTGTGTGTGAGAGATCACAACATTTCAAACCACTTTAAAAGCAGACTTTGGTTCATGTTGGTGTGTTTTTAATGCTTGACTTGGAGAAGTGAGGCCAGGGCAGTGCAGATGTAGAGCCTGAGAATATAAAGCCAGAGGAGTAGTTTTTTTTTATATCAGCACCTTATCAGCTTCTAACACCTGGATATGGATTAGTTTTACCTTATTAACTGCCATTATGTTTCCCTGTGTTATGGATTCAGGCCGCTAAGAACATATCCCTCATTTTAATGGTCTAAGGAAAATGTTGACCATTGTTAAAAATCTCCCGTGAAAGAGCAAACGCACAATTCTAAAACTGACAGAGCAGCCAGAGATAATGTAATTTGGCTCATTGTTCAAACGGTCATTACAGCCATTTCCATAATCTATTGAGCAGAGTGGGCAGGCGATGAGGTCCGACGTTATAATGCTTTAGATCAGGGATCATTTATTCATCTCATAGTTATTCCATGAGCGGTGTCTCTGCTGAGAGCTAAGCTCTGGCTGAACTCACTGACATACATTTTTATATGGCCTCGTTCAATACTGGCTCGCTGCAACACACACCGGCTCCTGTGAGATGGAAGACCAGCTGTTTGAGGGAGAACTGAAAATATGGTGAGCAAAGTTCATCCAAATTATTTTTTTTCCTCAGTTGCTTTCTGTCTCTCAGCATCTCACACACACTGGACTGCAGGAGAAGATATACAGGAGAAGATATTCTGAAAGGGTTTGAATTTCACATCCTGATTAATGGTTCATTATCCTAAAATCAACCAGGTCTCGTGTGTGTGGATCTGTCCTCTCGTCGGGGGATTGTGTGTTTATGCCGCGCGATGCTGCATACGCTCGGAGGCGGCACACATCAAAACAGCTGGCTGTGTACATTGCGCCTCTACAGCTCCATATCCCAGCATGCCCCAGTGTGCAGTGATAGCACTGCTCTCTGCTGTGAGACCAATGAAGGCCAAATGAGTAACTGGTCCAATTAAGGGCTCTTAAATAAATTAGAATGTAAGCTAGTAAACACACAACAACAATAACACGCTTTGATTCTTCCATTTATACGGTGAAACCCAGGAAAGAAACAGAACAATTATCCCTCAGTGGGAGCACAGGACGATCCAAACACTGTTCACCTGCTCCAGCTTCAGCTATTGCCATTATTGACGGATTGGAAATATGATCCATACGTGTCAAGCTGTAGCCATGCGCCATGTAGCACACGTTACCAATCTGAGGCCACAGCCGATACTGTCAGCGCCTCGGAGATGTCAAATCAATAACTGTCAGTCAAATCTACACATTTTCTCGCAAAGACGTTCGATATGTTTGCAGAAGTGAAAAGCCATGTTAACTACCAGAGACTTTATTTTTTCTCTCTCTCTTTAAAGGTAGTGTACATATAGGGATTTACTAAAATAAATAAATACCCTTACTAAATAGGTAACAGCAAGTACTTGATGGTACTACAGGTACAGAGTCTCCCTGCCTGTTGTCAGCATGGTTTTGTTTGTGTGCTTGTGTCCAGCAGATGGCGCCCCAGGTGAGAATCTTTGTGACCTATTCCAATAAGCCAGCCAGGAAAACCCTGATTTAGAACAAGGATGTTACAACAGCACCCCCAACTCATCAACAGGGCAGGGAGAGGGAAAATATTAAATATTAAAATAACTGTTACTGCTTTTAATTTAATGACATTTAATGAAACACTAAATTAACCAGTTTGCAGGTCTAAGATATGAGCATGAAACAAATTTATATTCCAGATCACCTCGAATGGTCTGGGGGAAACGCAGCAGTTAATGACTTCAATATGTAACAAACATGTGATGGTGCACACACTAATAAACATGACAACCAGCTCCAGCCGGCTCCCTTCTTAACAGGCAGAGCATGTGATCAAACGGCGATCCGCCCGATTAGTTTCTCGCACTGTTTTCAGTGAATTATGTGAGCGGCTGTGTGATCAATATCATTTCCATTTTGTTCATTAAATGCATAAGACTGAAAAAAAGAGTCATTGTCCAAACAACACCCACCTGTGAGTGTTTTAACTGGCTCCTTGGATTTCAATGTTTCTACTCGCTGCTCTTTCACGCCATCCATCGTCCTCACCCCTGCTGCCTCTCCCCTCCTTTGAATCGAGCCGCCGTCTTAGCTGGCTACCATGCATGCGTGGTCGATACCTTGTTACCACAGAAAAATCAATTATCTCGAGCAAGCAGCAGGGGGAAGAGGCAATAATGAAAGAATGCTCCTCCTTCCCAGACTTTGGCCACGGTCATTAAATATGAATTTATCCTTAGGTGAGGAGATTTATGGAGTGAACGCAGTGCCTTGAATTCACACCTTCTTTAAAGAGTGACTTCAGCGACCTGATTATGAGCTAAGCTAAATGGGAAACAGCTTTTTTATTAAGGCTGATGATGTATGTCTGAAGCTCAGCTAGCGTCTTGGTTATCTCACCTGAACTGATCAAATTTGACACAGCAGCTAATAACACGGAGTCTTCATACTGTAGATAAAAAGACTGTCTTCAGACAGTCACATGATTACAGTCAACCTATCTCAGGACGTTCGTGAAAATAAAAGACTTTTCTCTACATATCTGCCACTTGGCTAACCCTTTCTACAACTAGCGTTTCTAGCGTATCAGACAATTCCTTTTTTTTATAGAATTCATTCACAACCTGCTTGTTTGTTTTGTCTGTCGTAAATCAGCAATCATCAGAAACCGGACAGAGCTAACATTATATTAGCTTGACTAGCTGAGTGATACTATCAGGTGACAACGGGCAACAGGTAGGTGAGAAAATTCTCTGTAATGATATCTGTAATGATGAGTCTTCTTGTGATGACAAATCTAACAGCTGCAGCAGGAGGTGCTCAAAATAAATCCCAAACCACTGCCACCATCACGGATCGGTTATAGGACAAAGTGTAAAATAAAGATTAAAAGATAGAGAGGGAAGGAGAGGAAACAGGAAGCAGGAGCAAAGAGGGAAATGTGTAATTTCGATTTGCTCTTAAGGCTGCAATAAATTCAATTTTAATGGGGCACCACACGCAGTAGCAGCCACTCAGCAGTCTGTTGTGTTTGATGCCAAATTGTGCAGAATAAACAGATTTGCTGTGCAGCTGGTCCAGAGACACTTTCACTCGGTGTCTCTGTGACGTGCTCTGTTCCTCCTCTTCCAACACTCCACCGCCACAAATGGACACAGCAGACAAGAGTTAGACAGATTGTTAAATTAAGATGAGGAGTGCTTTGATTCATTTTCTCCCACTTTAACTGAGTATTCATCTCCAGCTGCTGTATATACGGAGTCCTGGGAAGATTTTTTTATTTTTTCTTCAGTAATAAATGTTGGTGCTGCTGATGAGAAATGACATGTCCTCATTACGAAATACTCTAAAAAAAAATGCTATTCAGATACCATGTATGCAGGCTCTAATTCAGCATCCACTCTGTAAATATGGAATATATAAATACCTGAAACTTTAGGATTTTGTAAATAAGCAATTTCTTGGGTTGATTTATTTCTAAATCTTTCTCTGGAGGAGTCAGTGTGTCACCTGCCGTGAACCTCGCCACACATTACTGACAATAAGTTACTCTTGGAGTAACGGCACACAAAAACATTCGGACAAATGAGGCCGAAAGCATTCCCTGCTTAATGGAGGTAAACCAAACTCTGGTCTGATGATGTTCAATTAAATCAAAGCGATACATGAGCGAACTAAACAACAGGAGCTCAATACGCAGCATTGCAGCCCAGCACGACCCTGTGCAAATCTTTATCCAATTTAAACATGATCATTTTAAACACACAGTAATGTAAGATGCAAAAATAGAAAAATTCCAAAATATTCACAATTTGTTTACGTACATCCTGGTCCGAGTGTGTGTAAAGTTTGATTGTGAAACCAGTAGTTATTAAGACAGACTCAAGTGGTGGGTGGACTGACAAACTAACAGACAGACCGACTGTTGACAGGATACTGTGTGTTTGTGTGTCCATATGCCGTGTGAATGCAGCTGCTTGTTTGTGTGTGCATGTTCCTTCCTCATGAGTGAATCTGAATTCATGTAATTTAATGTGAATCTGTGTGAGCACAGGTGCATGATATGGACCAGCAACAGAAAGGCGCTGTGCAAGAAGGGCTGACGGGTTTCTACTGAATGTGAGCACCGGCTCCGTGTGCAGGTACTGTATGTGCTTGTGTCCCTGTCTCCGTGTTTGGGATTGTTTTTCTGCATGAACAGGCGGTGGCGGTATAGAAACGACTAAATAATAATAAAACATGCAGAAGCCCCAGATTCTGGATAGCTTTAGATCAGGGCTGTCATTTTCACTGAGGGCCACATCAACAATACAGTTCCCCTTGAAGGGCCGGTTGTAAATGGAAGGCCAGGGATCCCTAACCTCTGGTCCACGGACCAGTACCAGCCCTTAGGTCATTTGGTACCGTGCTGCACTGGGACACAGTGAAAAATTTGCTTAATTTTTACTAATTGACTTCATTCAAAGACAATCCAGTCAAATCCATTTACTTTCTTTATTTAAAATAATCTGGCAAGTCATTCAGACACTGATACAA